AGGTGCTCTCATGGCTACAGGAATGTTCCTGCCTAGGCCCTCTTCATGGACAGAGCAAGGGAATGTATATATGTGTATACCAGGGTGTCCCAAAAGTCTTAGTGCTACATAGACTTTAAGAACTTCAGAATTACAAATGCTATTAATTGACAAAGTATCATTGGGTAATTTAGTGATTTATATTTCTTTATACCTAGTTTTGTGAATTTTTAAAAATGAGTTTTATTTATTTTTATTTTTAATTTTATTTTTGTTACAGCTGTGTCTCTTTTTTTACCCCATTGACACCCTCCTCCCCATCTGCCCCACTCTGTCCCCGGCTTTGTTGTCCATGTCCTTTGGTTATGCATACATGCATATAAGTTCTGTGGTTTATCTCTTCCCTCCCCCCACCACCCCCTCTTCTGAGGGTTGTCAATCTGTACCCTACTTCCATGTTTCTGGGTCTACCCTATTCCTCAGACTGTTATGTTTGTTATATTCCATAAATAAGTGAAATTATGTGGTATTTATCTTTTTCTGCTTGGCTTGTTTCACTTAGGATAATACTTTCCAGGTCCCTCCATGTCATCTCAAAGGATAAGAGATCTTTCTTACAGCTGGATACGCTTCATTTTTAATAATATATCCACTTGTACCTGCTAGTTCAGGTCCAAATACCCCTCGTAGAACACCTTAATTATGTTAAATAAAGCCAGATCCTTATTATCATACCAGAGGATCACATCAGAGTTTCTGAAGTCACCTGCTTGCCAAAATTGATGTACCAGAGAGAAAGAAAAACTTGAGCAGTACTACTAGCTCATTAATATAAAGTAAAGGGCCAGTGCTCACTGCTAGCCTGTTACATTCCCTGTCAAGTTAGGCAACTGTATCCATTTAAGTTTTCTTGCAGAAGTAAGTTTGTCTTTCCTTCCTCAGTTCTACATTGCTTACATATCTTAGTGATAACTGAACATTTTCACCAAGCTGAGATAACGTTTTTGGTATTGTGTTCAGCAATCAAGATTTTTAGTGATATGTCTGGAGACATAATCAGAAATTCCTTTGTTTTTGGTCTAACCCAAGAAAAATAAATTAACTGCAGAGAAAAAATTATATCAGAGATTTTAATTTAAAAAGTAACCTAAAAATTATTTACAATGTTTTTTTTTTTATTCTATGCAATTGCACCTTTTAAAAAATCCTTTCCTGATGACATATTTTTATTGAGTTTAGAGAAAGGGAAAGGGAGGGAAGGTGGGAGGGACGGAAGGAGGGAGAGAGAGAGAAACATTGATGTGAGAGAGAAACATCCAATGATTGCATTCCATATGTGCCCCCACCACTGATCTACTGTTTTGAAATCCCTCTTTGGGGGAGTGAGGTGAGTGGGTGAGCCAGAAACTCAGTCTGCATGGAGTCTTGATGGACAGAAGTGGAGCAGGCGGCTGTGTCTGCAGCACTGTCAGGGGTGTCTCTTGGGGCACCTGCCCACTCACAGTGACACCACCATCAATTTCTTATTGGAAAGGGGCAGGCTCGCTCTGGATCCAGCCACATTCACATGCCTGCTTTGTGTGGGTATACCATGGGCAGGTGGCAACCCAGTCTGGGCCAGCCAAAGCCGGTTTCCTAGAAAATGAGTAGTGGACTTATCCAGTGGCATTCTGGCTCCAAGCCAGTTCATTCTGACCTGCAAGAACCCACTTCCAAATTTTTAAGAATTTTGTAAGGCAGCTGTTAAGTATACCCGTTATTAAAAGTTAAATGTTTAATTACAATTAAACCCCTTATATTACAAAGGTGATAAATACACAAAACCTATTACTAATTATAGTACTACATTTTACTGTTATGCTCTTGGAGTTAGTTATGACTATTGTATCTTTGTGGTGGAAATAGTAATAATATGGCTACTACATATCGTCTACTCATTCCACAATTGAGTCATACTGGTAACTGGAAATCAGCCACAGTAGGAGTATTTTTGCTATAGAAACAGACAGACACTACCAATCTGGACGTGATTTATTCTTTTGTTAATAATCTAAACTTTAAAAAGTTATAGAATTATCTCAACCTTGAGACACATAATTCTTTTTTGGTGGGGCAGGGATGTCCCTGACTCTACCCATTAGATGCCATCTTAACAACCAAAAATGTCTCTAGACACTGCCAAGTGTCACCAGAAAAGCAAAATCTCTCTTCACTTGAGAATCACTGATACAAATTAAATGTCAAAGTGCTGCATCTGTAGCTGTTACATAGTAAAGGAGACAAAGACTTGAGGAGATAGTCTTCCAGGATTGAAAAGCTATTATCTGATTCAGTAAAGAAGTTTCTCACACTATTGACAAATCGGAAATTAGAACAGGCAGCTTCATTGCTTTATTTTTGTCTTTTTATGCAAAAATATCAACCAGAGTTTATGTTAGAGCTGGACTCATTCATCAGTTGTAACCACAGATTGGATAGGGATATTGGCCAGGGAGAAATAACCAAGACACTCATAGCATTAGAGGAAATATGGGAAATACCACCTATGAATCCATAGCAATAAAGTCAAAAACCCAAAAGAGATGATTTCCTAACAGCAAGCTATGTACCAAAATTGTTCAACAAAAACTAGAAAACAAGGATAATGCATTATAGCAGAAAGAAAGATTGTAAGTCCCCCAATTTACATGCTACCAGGTACAGTTTTTTAATTACTGAGATCCATGTCCTTTTTAAAGAACAGACAACTCTAAAGATGAAAGAAAAAAAGGAAGGAAGGAAGGAAGGAAGGGAGGGAGGGAGGGAGGGAGGGAGGGAGGGAGGGAGGAAGGAAGGAAGGAAGAAAAGAAAGAAAGAAAGCTCAAACTTTCTGCTCTCAGAACCCCTTTCTATTCTCAAAAATACTTGAGGACCTCAGAAATGTTTTATTCATGTGGGTAATAACTATCAATACATTTTGTACTAGAAATTAAAACAAAAATTTTAATAATTGTTATTAAAAATAACTAACACACATTATGTATTAAATCAAATAATACATTATTGTGGAAAATTATGTTTTTTAAAAATTTAAGGAGTGGCATCCTTTTACATTAATGCAACCTCTTTTATGTCTTGCCTAAATAAATCTGAATTCCAATATCTGCTTCTACATTCAATCTGTTGTAAAGTGTAAATTCCGCATGATGTATGTGAAGAAAATCTACCTTCACATAGCTATGTAGTTGGAAAAGAGAAAAAATCTCTTAATCAGATAACTGTGGACATACATACTATACCAAAAATGACAGTGGTAGTTTTCTAAAAGTTAGTTGCAATGTGAAATCTAAAACCATATCTATAAACTTTTCATACTGTTACTATATAGAAATCCGCTGGTCTAGTTTGAACATTGAATGGATCTTTTACTCATGCATAATTTTATAACATTAAGCATTGGTCATTTGGAAAATATTAGTTCACTGATTTATACAGATCTTCCAAATGTTGATACACTTCATGATACAATATCTTAAAAATCACATTCATTGCCTGGCCAGTGTGGCTCAGTGGATTGAGTGTTTTCCCATGGACTGAGAAGTCCCGGTTTGATTCCTGGTCAGGGCACATGCCTGGGTTTCAGGCTTTATCCCCAGTAGGGCGCATGCAGGAGGCACACAATCAATGTTTCTCTCTCACATGGATATTTCTATCTCTCTCTCCCTTCCTCTTTCTCTAAAATATCAATGAAAATATAAAAATAAATAAAAGTATAAAATTTAAAAATAAATAAAAATTACATTCATTAATATCATCCCCTTTATCTCATCAAAAAAGCCTTTCAGTGACTGGGAGGATAATAAGCTCATGGTGGTGGATACGATTACAACTTGCTAATTGTAAAATAATAATTTTTACTGAAAGCTCCTACTTTATCACTAGCAAGAAATATGGTCAATCATTTTCTTTAAATAACAGGCTCATTTTGTTCATTTGAAAGAAGACATCTGCCATATACCCAAGTCTAAATGACCCTAATTTGTCTCTTGGTAATTCTTCAAGTAGAAGCAATGTACCATTTAAAAAAAAAGAAAAGAAAAGCTACTTCAACTTGCAATTCAAACACTCTCTGGGCACTTTTCCTAAAGCCAAGCATCATTTGTCAGTACAAAGCACAAGTGCTTTCTGTACACTTCCAGTTTGATCCCACAGAATTAAAAAGATGCCTACTTAAGCCCTGGCTGGCTTGGCTCAGCAGTTAGAGAGTTGGCCTGGGTACCAAAGAGTCACGGGTTTGATTCTGGTCAAGAGCACGTACCTTAGTTTCGGGATCGGTCCCTGGCCCTGGTGGGAGGCAACCAATCAATGTGTCTCTCTCACTGAGCCATACCGCCACGCTAGAATTAATCATTCTGACTTTATATTAGGAACTTTAAAAAAAAATTCTCACCCTGGCCAGTTTGGGTCAGTGGTTAGAGCATCAGCCTGCAGTCCAGAGAGACCTGGGTTCGGTTCCTGCTAAGGGTGCATACCTCAAATGCAGTTTGTCCCCAGCCCTGATTGGTCATGTGGGTAGCAGCCACTCAATGTGTCCCTTTCATGTTGATGTTTCTCTCTCCCTCCCACTCTATCTAAAAAAAATGGAAAAATGTCCTCAGGTAAGAATAAAAAAAGAATTCTCACCAAAGGATACTTTTTTATTTATCTTCAGATAAAGTGGGAGGGAGGGAGGGAGGGAGAGAGAGAGAGAGAGAGAGAGGAAAACATTGATGTGGGAGAGACACATCAACTGGTTGCCTCCCAAATGACCCTGACCAGGGCCAGGGACCAAACCACAACTGAGGTATGTGCCGTTGACTGGAATTGAACCTTCAACTTTTTGGTCTTTGGGCCAATGTAGTAACAGTTGAGCCAAACTTTCCAGGGCAAAAACACTTTTTGAAGTGAAATTGGCTATTTTATGTGTGAGTGTGATACTGAACTCAGATTTGGCTGCCTGCTGCTTTGAGTCAATACTCCAGAGACAGGTGTTGATGGAAGAAAAGACAGTTTATTCAAATGCCAGCAGCCTGAGCAGATGGCGGACTCCTGTCCTAAAGACCACCTTTACATCTCAGTGCAGGCAGGGGTTTTACAAGGAGGGAGAGGGAAAGCAGAACAAAAAAATCATGGGGAGGGGAGTTGAAAGTTCTCTATGTGTAAGTCAGCACAGTCTATTCTGATGATTATCTTGAAGCTGGTCAAGTGGAGGTCCGGTTTTCATGGATGGAAGTCATCAAGTCTCCTGGAGCTGGACTGTCTGGTTGCTGGAGTCAGTTTCCTTTGAAGTTAGTCCTTGGAACTTCTACAGAAATATGCTGTTTTTCAATGGTTACATATTAGTTAATTCATTTAAAAAAACACTTTTAACAGAAACAAATTTAAAAGAATGGAGGGGTGAGTTACTGGAGTGCACAGGAAGGAAGAATATGACTACAGTTTAGTGCCACTGCTTTGATTCATGCCAATGCATCAGTAAATTTACCATTTCTTTTGACCTTCAGTGCAAATGTTAACTTCCCCAAAAGTAATGTATAAATTCCACATTTAACTTATACTTTTTATGGAGTGGGATTTTGGAAGAAAAGAAAATGATCTTGAAGATCACAAGGAAGTATACATTTCCAATAACAGTCATGAAATGATGAAAAAATATAATGGATTATTGCCACTGGCTAGAAGGGGTAACTGCTACAGGAATTTTTGTCCTACCATAAAGAAATAAAAAAACAAAAACAACAACAAACAACAAAAAACCCAGGAAAAATATATAACTATTTTTCAAACATAAAGCAACAGGCAATGAATAAATGAGGTGAGCACTAGCCCTGGATTACTACCCAGAGGCAGTGTTCAGGATACAGCTCAGGAAACCCAAACAGAGCCTACCTAGTATCTCATTAAATTGAGGGAAAAAAGATTACAGTTCTGGGAGATTGAGGAGATTGGGACAGAACACAAGAAAGTAGAAAGATGTTCAGGGGAAAATCTTGAGGCTCTGCCAAGGGGTCCTTTCAAACTATTGGCTGAATCCTAATCTCCCCAGGCTGAGTAAAGAACCACCATAGAGCAGTGGGCCATGCAACACCCAGAGCTCACACAAAGATGGGCAAATACCAGGCATGGGATAGAGTCTTCTAAAGGGAATCACCCAAGTAGTGGGGCCAAATTATCCTAGACTGAAGGCTGCTCTGACTCACCCTAATCAAGCAAAAAGCAAGCCTAAAGGATCAAACTGATTCCAACTAACTTAACTGCCTATCAGATAAAAGGACAGTATTTCTAAGGAATACTACAAAATCTAGACCCCAACAATATAAAACTGCAAAAATCAATCAAAACAATCCACCATATCAATAGGCTAAAGAAGATAAAGCATGTAACCTTACAAAAAAGCATTTGCTAAAATGCAATACCCACAGCAAAAGACAGCAACCTAGGAAAGAACATCTACAAAACACACACCTACATACCCTACAAATAAAATCATAGTTAGTAGTGAAAGAATCGATGGTTCTCACTGGGTTAAGGAAACAACAAAAGGTAAACAAACAGTAAAATCCATTCAAAGGAATACTATTGTGCAATAAAAAGGAATGAACAGCTGAGACATGCAACAGCAAGAAAAAGTCTCAACACATTATGCACATGAAATATTTAGAAAAAATACTACATACTATGTGATTTCATTGATATGAATTCTTTAAGTTAAAACTATAGTGATAGAAGCAGATTTGAGGTTTCCAGGATTTGGGGCTTGTGCTAGAAATGGACTACAAAGGAGCAGGAAGAAAATTCGAGGGGGGATGCAAACCTTTCTATATCACAGAGTGGTAAAAAGACACTCTCAGGCCCTCCCTAAACTTCCTATCATCTGTTATGTTCCGTACATCTCCATCTGCATCCATCCCCTAGCACTGTCTACCACCCTCTTGTCCTGTGCTAACAACCTCACCCAAAATACACACACCACCACTTTTTGGAGGAAAGAACTATTTGTGACAGCAGCTACTACATTTCATAGCACCCAGAAAAAGGTGCAAGACATTGCAAGTGGGCAACAGTGAGGACGATGACAAAAGCTGACTTTGAGCAGCACACAAGTGTTAGAAATATTTATCAAAACACATTTATATGGCATATTTCATCATTTTACATTTAACTTCTATGAAACAGGGATACAGCTTTCAATGGAAAGCATCATGCAATTCTAATTGTGTCTTTTTATTTGTCTTAGTGGTAAATTTTTTGAAAATATATTTTTATTGATTTTTTTTTTTAGAGAGAGAGATAGAAACATCAATGAGAGAACATCGATCAGTGCCTCCTGCACACCCCTGGTGGGTGTAGAGCTTGAAACCGGGACATGTGCCCTGACCAGGAATTGAACCAGTGACCTCTTGGTGCATGGGATTATGACCAATCCACTGAACCACACTAACTAGGAAATGGCAAATTTAAAAATAACATTGAATCTTAGAATTGATGACAGAGTCTGGCTCTAAACTGCAGAATGGCTGGAACCTTGATGCACAGGATTTTAACTGCACATTGACACTGCGGTGGACCTCTTAGTCTCTCGAGGCTGCACATTGCCAAAGGTTTGGCACAAGTCTGGAAAGTACAGTAAGTATTTCTTCACGTGGAACTGTGAGCTGCTCTGGCTGTGCAGGTAAATGCCAGGTCCACCTCTGCCTCCACCACACACAACAAGGTTGGGCATGCTGCCCAATTTCTGGCATCCAGCATGCCCCTCCCACCCCACACCCTGTCTGTGCTACTGCCACACGTTCACCCCAGGCACACCTTGGATGAGCAATCCTCGGCCAGTGTGGAGTATTTGGTGTTCATCATGCCCAGGAGCAGTGCTCTTAGCTGCAGTGCCTGGTGCAAGAGAAACAGTTGTCAATGGAGTTCAAATGTTTGCTGCTAGGAGTGCATGGAGAATAGAAGTCAGGTTTCCCCATTTGTCTCCCAGCCCAAGAGTTTGCCCTGGGAACCCCAGGTGGAGTCTGGTGCTAAAAATGTAGGTGGAGGCTGTGCAGGTGCATGGAGCTGAGGCCCACCTACCTTCAGGGAGGGGCTACTAGGTTTGGGGGCCCAGGGTAAAGGTTGGGGGATCTGCAATCATTGAACTTGGGAAAAAGTGAGTGGCTTAGAAAAATAAAGGTGTTACCCTTGGGATCCAGGTGCTTCCCATTTTTACCAAGTAAAGGGGTGTTGGAGGGTAGGGCTTATCCCTAAAGGCAAGCCTGTTCTTTGCTTTGATTTTTGATTCTCACTGGGAAATGGGAATCACTGAAGACAACACCCACATAAAGTTTTCCTATGACAAATGTGTGCCAAGAGCAAGGGCTTTGTTTTTTTAAAGGTGGAAAAAATTCTACAGATACAAAGAAAACCAAGAAAATGCCTATTCTAGTATTATGTTAAACCAGATGAATATCCTATTTTTGCAGGTCAATAAACAACCCAGCAGGTGCATTTCATATAATTAAACTAAATACTATTACAAAACCCACATAAAATGATTTCAATTTCCATGAAGACTCTAAAAGGGAAGGAAGGTGGAACACGGAAAATGACTGAGGCAAAAACTTACCATGCCGCCACTTTGTATATAGTCCATTCAGCTTATCTGCATCCACATTATAAATATCCACCAATATGGCACACAATGCTAGGGCCACATGTAAAATTCAGGGTGGGCCTATTGGCCAAGTGCACAAAGACATGAGTTTAGTTCTCATCACCCTCAGGGGTGAATGCAAAGTCCCCAACATGTGGCAATATATAACAACCTCAACTCTTCTGTTACAAAGGAATCTCATGAAATTGTTCTCTTTTTCTCCCTTGGAGAGACTGGAGTCCACAGAGGCCAAACCAGGGCTGGGTCTCTGATATTCAAAACACAGCTCCTGTTCCAAGATGGCTGCAGAGCAGGTGAAAGCAACACACACCTCCCAGCTTTAAACCCAATTTACAGCTGAAAGTGGAGCAATCAACCTGAATAACAACTGGAGGCAGTGTTTCTCTTAAGATCAGAACAGCCCTGGCCAGTTTGACTCAGTGGTAGAGTGTCAGCCCAAGGACAGAAAGGGGTGATTCCCCTTTCACCCCTCTTATTCAACATAGTACTGGAAGTATGATGAGCCACAGCAATCAGACAAGAAAAAGAAATAAAAGACAAGCAAATTGGAAAGGAGGAAGCAAAATTGTCATTATTCACATATGACATTATATTGTATATTAAAAACCCTAAAGACACCAACAAAAACTACTATATCCAATAAAGTGACTTTAGCAAAGCAACAGCATACAAAATCAATATCTAGAAATCAATGTCATTTCTATACATCAATATTAAACTATAAGAAAGGGAAACTAAGAAAACAATTGTACTTACTTTTGCAACAACACACAAATAAACTACCTAGAAATAAATTTAACCAAGAAGGTAAAAGACATATGATTGAAAAATTATAGGACATTGATGAAATAAATTGAGGAAGATACAAATAAGTGAAAAGATATAACATAATCATGGATTGGAAGACTTAACATTTTTTTAAAATTTACATACTGCCCAAAGCAATCTATAGATTTAAAGATATTCCAGGCCTGGCCTGTGTGGCTCAGTAGTTGAGCATCGACCCATGTATCAAGAGGGTGCTCGCTGGTTTGATTCTGAGTCAGGGCACATGCCCAGATTGTGGGCCTGATCCCCAGTGGGGGCCATGCAGGAGGTGACCAATTGATATTCTCTCATTGATATTTCTCTCTCTCACTCTCTCTCTCCCTCTTTCTATTTCTCTAAAAAAATGAATAAAAGTGGAAAAAAAGCAATTTGAATTAAAATACCAATGGCATATTTCACAGATCTAGAAGAAATATTCCAAAAATTTAGATAAAACCAAATATTCTGAATAGCCTCAGCAATCCTGAGAAAGATGAACAAAGTTGGAGAGATAACAACACCAGGTATCGAACTATACTATGAGGCCACTGTAATCAAAACAGCCTGAAACTGGCATAAGAACAGACATATAGACCAGTGGAATAGAACAGAGAGCCCAGAAATCAACCCACACATTTATACTCAATATTTCACAAAGGAGGCAAGAGCATACAATGGAGTAAAAACAGTCTATTTAATAAATGGTGGTGGGAAAGTTGGACAGAATCTAGACCACCAACTTACACCATACACAAGATTAAAACCAAAATGTACAAAAAACTTAAATGTAAGTTACAAAATTATAAAAATCCCAGAATAAGACATAGGCAGTAAAATCTCAGACATCTCTCATAGCAATACTTCAGCTGATTTTTCTTGTAGGGCCGAGGAAACATAGAAAAACTAAATAAATGAGACTACATCAAACTAAAAAGTTTCTGCACAGTAAAAGAAATCATCAAAATGAAAAGGGATCTCACTGTATGGGAGAACATATTTGCCAATTATATATCTGATAGGGGTGAATTTCCAAAATATAACTTATATAACTCAAATCCAGGAAGACAAACAATCCAATTAATACATGGACAAAGGACTTGAATAGATATTTCTTCAAAGAGGACATACAGATGGTCAAGAGACATGTGAAAATGCTCCAAGTCACTGGTCGTCAGAGAGATGCAAATTAAAAGTACAATGAGGTATCACCTCACACTTGCCAGAATGGCTACCGTCAAAAAATCAACAGACAACAAGTGCTTGAGAGGATGTGGGGGAAAGGGAACCCCACTGCACTAATGGAGGGAATACAGACTGGTGAAAGCACTGTGGACCACAATACAGAATTTGCCCAAAAAATTAAAAATGGAACTGCCCTATGACACAGTGATCCCACTTCTGGGAATATATCTTACAAATCCTCAAACACCAATCAGAAATAATACATGCACCCCTGTGTTCATAGCAGTGCTGTTTACAATAGCCAAGATTGGAAACAGCCCAAGTGCCCAACAGTAGATGAGTAGATAAAAAAGGTATTGTACGTTTACACAATGGAATTCTATGCAGCTGTAAAAAGGAAGAAACTCTTACCTTTTGGGACAGCATGGATGGGCATAGAGATTGTAATGCTAAGTGAAATAAGCCAGTCAGAGAAAGACAAATATTATATGATCTCACTTATATATGGAATCTAAAGAACAAAATAAACTGACATACAAACAGAACCAGGGACATGGCTACATGGAACAGACTGACGGATGTCAGAGGAGAGGTGGGAGGAGCAACAGGTGAAAGAAGGTGAAAAAATTAGCCAAAGAACAAGTGTGCTTAGCGCATGGACACAGAGAACAAAGTGGTGAGGGCCAAGGGAGGGGAGGGCTAGGTCTGGGCAGAGTGGGGCAAAGGAGGAAAAATGGGGGACATCTGTAATGTCAACAATAAAAATTAAATTTTAAACATTATAATTGTTCAGAGTAAATACCTTAATTAATTAATAAAGATCATGTGAGCATATAGCAAGGTGGCACCACATGCAAGCCATGAGATGAGGCCTCAGAATGAAACCTACCTGACCAGCACCTTGATCTTGGACTTGCCACCTCCGGAGTGTCCAGAAATAAATTTCTATTGTTCAAGCAAAAACAAAAAACAAACCACAAAACCCCAAAACAAAAACAGCAGCCTGCTCCCCTGCAGCCCCACTTCCTTCCCACCATGTAACAGAGGTGACAGTAAAATATTACACTCTGATTACTAATAGCAGGGCCAAGACAACTGGGTGAATAACCCACCAGCTTTTCCCACAGCAATAATTATTTTTTTGCAGTTATCCTCATTACTCTGACTTAGGTAGACCTTGTATGTGTTCCGTCTGAATAGCCACTTCTCACTGCCCACCTGAGTTTCCCTAGGGGGCAAAAAATTAACTGCCACTTAATACATTTCCATTTCATTGATGCCCTGGCCTCACAAGTTTAAGGTTAAATCCAGAGGAACATGCTCAGAGATTGTTCTGAATTGGAATACTTTTCTCTTCTACATGAGGTGGTGGCTGGGGGTCTGGGTGGGGATCACTGCTGTTTCTCCTGCTACATCCAGGCTCCCCTAGCAGGTTTTAGTCTTTGATTAGTGATGCAAACCTCTGTCTGCCTTTTCCCAACAGAAATTATGAATACTGAAAAGGAGACTATGCATAGTGCACAGAGTCTCTGTTCAGGTAAAAGTGTTTGGGAACTAGTAAGGTAAAATATGACTCACTGAATACCACCTAAGATCTCACCTCTCAGCCACAGGAAACACTAAATTCCAACAGACATGGTTTATGTCACACCAGTCACCTCCCAACCAAACCGGTGATGTAGGAAGGGAGAGAAGGGCAGGGAGGCCGCTGCCATGTCAGCCCAGCTCTCGCCTTTACACTGGCCTGCCCTGGACTACACAGCTTAATCCCAGTGTGATCTTGCCCCCTGTTCCCAAGCAGGAAGTGGACAACCTACCATCCTCCAGAACAAGGGCATCTGAGAGAGAACTGTCTTCACTGCCAATATTTCCATCTGCGAAGACAAAAAACAGAAGTCAGAGATGATCAAATCCCTTAGACAAAGCCCTGTCTGTGAAAATCATGTGTAGCACCATCCCATAGCCTTCTCTGCCTGATCAGAAAGAACCTGTGGAACAACCAAAATGTGATGACAGTCCCTGTGGGGGCATCAGCTCGCCTCTTCCTGACACAGCACCATCCAGTCTGTGTCCTTGTGTGACAGGCACCGCAGTGCTGAGTAGCTCCACGTCCACTGTAAAGGCTGCCTGGCCTGCTTAGGCCACAGCACTGTCCCCACCCAACCCCAGGCCTGTTTTGACAAAACCCAAGTAAATGAACTGCTATTTATTGTACAAACGTGAAACTTCTGTAAGGAACCTGGTTTTGCTCACAGGGCAACAGATGGCTTCTCAATGAACTTCTTTTTAAGTTGATTCTTTTAGAGAGGAATGGAGAAAAAGATAGAAAAAAACATTGATGTGAGAGAGATACATGAATTGGCTGCCTCTTGCATGCCCCCTACTGGGGATTGAGTCTGCAAACCAGGCATGTGCCCTGACCTGGAATCAAACTGGGACCTCTCAGTCCATGGGACCACACTCAATGCACTGAGCCACACTGACCAGGCTCAATAAACTACTAAAGTCATTAGTAAAGAAATAAACTGCTAAACATAGCTTCTGTCTCTACAAAGCTTATTTTCATAGACCCCATTCAGTTACCCAAGAGAACATGCCATAGAGTGAGACAGTAAGGTAATGCTCCCCCTCTTTTTTTTTGTTAATGCTCACCAGAGGATGTTTTTTCCATGGATTTTATTTTTAGAGGGAGTCAAATGGAAGAAGAGAAAGTGATAGAGGAAAAACATTGATATGAGAGAGACACATTGATTGGTTGCCTCCTCCTTGTGCCCTGTCCAGGTCGGGGATCGAATCTGCAACCCAGGTATGTGCCCTTGACCGGGAATCATACCCAAGACATTCTGGTGTGCAGGGCGATTCTAACCAGTGAGCCACACTGGTCAGTGTGATCCTCTCCCTTTAACAGCTGGGGAAACTGAGTCACATCTGGGGAGCTTGTTTGTCTGGGATAGCTCTGCTCTCCTGGCAACATTAGTAAAAGGTCTCAAGTCTTCAGATACTAAGTTTAGTGTTTTTTTCTTGGGGGAGGGGGGTTGTGCTAAGAAACTAAAAAGAATTTTAATTACTCCTCTAATTCAAATGGCTTGTGTAATGAAAATATTACTTAAAAGAGGCATCAAAACAGAGAAGTTATATTCTTGGTGGGTATGTGGCCTTGACTGGGAATCATACCCAAGGCTCAGATGGGTTCAGTCACCAGCTAGCACAGACATGATGTGGAAACAGACTCTGTGGCATTCCTGACAGAACAGCCATCACTGGGCTGGCTGGAAAACCAGGCTCTTCTGTGGCCGACCAGTGAAGGCCCCTCCCTGCAGTGCCCCTCCAAACTGGGCTCTGTGCCCACCCCAGATGTTATGCTGGAGCCAGGACCCCCAAGTGCCTTCAGGGGGGCAGAGGAGAAGAGCAGTGGATGGCAGCTCTGCTAGGAAGTAGGGGAGAAAGTGACCAAGTGTTGGCCAAAGACAACAGGGTGATATGGAATAGTTATTCCACATTTACTACAGCAAAGAGATTTCTTATGGTCTCTCTTCTTTTTTAAATCAGAAATTCACTATTCGTATTGCTTGATGGATTCAGAACACCTAGGAGACTCTGGCATCTTAGAGCCTAAAATATCATTGCTGCTCCAGTATGCCCACAGTTTTAGGTTGCAGATTCTATCTATCATTCATCTATCTATCTATCTATCTATCTATCTATCTATCTATCTTATCTATCTATCTATCTATCTATCTATCATCTATCATCATCTATCTATCATCTATCTCTCTAGATAAATAGATACAAAATTGTGGTAAAATATACATAAAATTTACCATTTTAACCATTTTTCTGTACAGCTCAGTGGCTGTAAGTACATTCACATTGTTGTGCAACCATCACCACCGTCCATCAGCAGAAGTTCTTCATCTTCCCAAAGGGAAACTCTGTCCTCATTAACATGAGGTCCCCATTGTCCCAGCCCCAGCCCTGGTTGCCACCATTCCTCTTTCTGTCTTCCTAGAGAAAAAGGTTTTTAAATATGAAAACATAATGAAACAATCTTTATCTATATCTATCTAAATCTCTATCTTTATCTCCATCTCTCTATATCTATATCTCCACATATATTTCAAAGAATTTGCTTATTTAAAAAAATGATTTAACATTTGGAAACTTGATAGTTTTGATAGTTGTTGGACTTGGAGGGGGAGCCTTTCCTTCTAGTGTTTACCAAATATAATCACCCAAACTCCTAAGCTCTCCTCCCCGGGTTCAGTGCTCCAGACAGTCAGAGTGGGCAGCCCAGTGCTCCCAGCTCAGCTTCAGATCTGGGTCCCGACACAGAGGAGCACAGAGGTGATGGGGTGCTGGCTGCAGGCAGTCCAGATGTCCACCTTTCCCTGAAAACTGGGACAGGCTGCTCAGCCCTGAGGACAGCAGGACAGGCACAGTCAACTGGGCTTAGCACACAGAAGGGCTGGGAGAGCATTTAGTTCATGGCTACAGGCTCTCCCGGGGAGGCAATAAACAGTGAAAATGATAGTCTGGTTGGCATAACCCTTTCATCTAAGGACCTGAGTGCACTTTATTGCTCTCAGAACTTATTAGCTTCATTTGATAGGTAGAAAATGAAGGCACAGGGTGGTTAAGTAGCTTGCTTAGGTCATGCCAGGAGTTGGGCTCTAGCCCACTAACAGGACTGGTGCCCATTCCCCAGGGCAGTGGGGGCAGCCCATCATGGGGAGTGGGCTCAGCACTGACCGTCAATGATAAGCGAGGACCTCTGGGTGGGTTTCTTCCCAGACTTGATGCAGTTCTTGTTGACTGCATTCTCCAGCTCCTGCAGCTTCGTCAGTGAATTCAGATGAGAGGGTTTCCATTGTTTCTTCAGTTTTTTGCTGACACTGGGGTCACTGGCGAGGTGGCGGGCAGCCTCTGTAATCTGGGATTGAATGGCAAACTCTTGTTTCAGGCATTCTGGCTCAGGTCCTGTGGGAGGGAGAGCCAGGGCTCATACTTTGGGAATACTCGGCAGGCAGACACTTGTCCTTTATGCCCACCCCTGTCCCAATGTGAGCCAGACTTCCTTCCTGCTGGGGACCATGGGCACTCAAAATCTAGCAGCCCCACTGCCTAACCCTGACCCTGTATGAACCCCCAGTGGCCCAGGAAAATGAAGCTGTGTCAGAAAATGCTCTCGGAGACCACACCTGCATCTTGCCCTGGGTGACTCGCAGTCATGCCAAGGTCTGGCAGGAACTCCCCTGGCTACCTAGGAGCACAATGTGAGTTTTCTCAGAATTAACAGACAGATATTTCTAGGTAGAGGCCAGTCAAATCTTCTGGCCTCTGGGCATCACACCCCAGGCTGGGGCCTCCATCCAGGACAAACTCTCAGCTTGATTTTATTCTGGGTGATTTAAGCCTGAAGAAAGCAAAGATCAGGAGTGAGAAACAAAGGTAAAGATTAAGCAGAACTATTTAGAAAATAATAAATTTTCAGATCCTTCGAATCCCACTGCATTTGTTCCCTGGGAGGGAGAAGAAAATTGGGACAGACTCCCATCAGGGGCCTGGGAATGAGTCAGCAGGGACAGGCTGAGCTGTGAGTGTGCCCCCCACCCCCTCCACAGCAGTGCTGAGCCCTGGTTCAAACACTGCCCGTGTTTTGTGGATGCCCAGGACAAGTTCTCGCTACTCAGACTGAGTCCAGTGAGTGCTGGCAGCCAGTATAGTGACTGTCATTTGATATATAAGAAAATAGATTTATAAACCTAAAATTAGGTAACCTAAATTTCTATTGCTACTAAGTTGTAAGAGAAAAGACATACTGGCATGTGCCATAAAGACACAGACAGCATATAAGATGGTGCTCCCATAAGATTTTAAAGGAGCTGAAAAATTCCTATTCCTAACATCATAAAACTACATGTTGCTCATGTTTGTGGTGATGCTGTATAAACAAAACTACAGCACTGCCAGTCATATAAAAAAGTTTAAGTAAATGAATAAAATAAAATTACAGCATATACAACTGTCGTAGTAGGCTATCCTGGCTCAGGCTGCATAAGTGCACTCTGTGATGCCTGACCAAGGACAAAATAAAAATATCCTAATGATGCAGTTTTCAAGATGCATCCCCACTGTTAAGTGGCACATGACTATTCCTAGAAGTTGTGTGACTCAAATTTTCAGACAAGAAAAGAAGAGATCTGCAAGAGTAAAAAGTGTCACAATAAAAACAAAAGTGTATTTATAAAGATAATTGTGTCCAAAAAGAGTATATAAGAACTTCACTGATCCAACAACTTAAATTTCTACATGGTAATTTACAATGAAATTTAAGGTATGATGAGGTTTTAAAATTATACTTCAAAAGTCAGTGATGTAGCTATTATACTTTAGTTATATTATAATTAGGCAAGTACACAAATGCAAAGGCATTCAAGCAACCTAGCTAACAATGGACATTATGGTAATGTGTGTGTGTGTGTGTGTGTGTGTGTGTACTTTTCAAAAGTGTCTTTGTAAGTAGGTAGAATAGCTAAGCTCAGGCTCAAAAGAGAATCATAAAGATGATTTACATTATTCTTTCATAACCTCTCAGCACAATCAATTTTACCAAAATATTCTGGGGTGACCTCAGCAACATGGAGGGCTAGGAGGCCCCAGGGCTTATCTCCCACTGAAACAAAACAATAAACAAACAACTACAAGCTGAAGAAAACCAGTTAAGAGGACTACAAAGAAGTAGCAAAAAACTCAGTAGAGTTAAAAAAAAATCAAGGAAGGCTGCATAAAGAAGTATGGGAAGCACATTACCTGTGTCACCCCATCTCCAGTAAAGAGTCCATTGACACCCCAAAAGGTCCCCTCACAGGAAGTT